TGAACACATGGGAAATGACCAAATGACTGGGCCGAGTCATAATGTCACTGCATAAAAAGGGGTCCACCAGGAAATGTGGCAACTTCCGGACTCTGGCCCTTATATCTCACAGAAGAAAAGTTCTCTTGCACATCTTAAACAACAGGATCCGTCACTATTTGGATTGGCCACCCGAAGAAGCTGGCTTCGTGAAGGGAAAGGGCACAAGAGAACAAATCCTAAACACCACCTAACATCTCCTTGGTCCAGTGCTTTATCGACTATAGTAAGGCATTCGACTGCGTTAATTTCAACAGCCTATGGAACGTGATATCTGACCTCAACATCTTGTCTCGCTTCTTCGATCACTATATATCAATAACCGTGGAGTTGAGAGGCTGGATCAAACTCTTTCAAAATCGTTTAAATTTGGTAAAGGAGTGAGACAGGGATGTATCATATCTCCCTTATGGGGAATATATCATGCGACGTACCCTCGAAGACTGGGAAGGCGGAGTTTCCATCGGTGGAGTCAAAATTACCAACTTGCGCTATGCTGTTGCAACTAATAAAGCTGAGATGGAAATCAACAAATCGAAAACCAAAGTCATGGTCATAGATCGAACAAATAACTAGAGCTAGGTGGGATACTCGATCTCTAATATGTGGAAAGTTTTGTGTACCTCGACTCGACCATATGTAGCGATGCGGACCGGACGTTCGGAAGCAGATTGGAATGGTAGAAAGCGCGATGATCCGACTAGTCAGGATCTCGACAGATAGATCGATCTCACTATAAACCAAGATTGTCCCGGTGAGAACTCTGGTGTTTTCCATATTAACCTACGGTGCGGAAACATGGACCCTCAAGAAGGCAGACAGATCTCATATTGACACATTTGAGATGTGGTGTTGAAGGGGAATGTAACGAGTTCCGTAGACAACCCACCGTAAAAATGCGTCAATTCTTAAAGAAGTGGGATCCACAGTCTACTTGCGTAGGATCCTTGAATTCTTCGGTTATATAGCTAGAAAGAAAAATCATACCCTGGAAGTGTACTGTCCACTTGTATAAAGAAAAAATCTCCTCAATTCTTGTTTGGTTTTTGATTATTTCTTGAGGGAAACGTAGAACCCTAAAGTTCACATTGAGAACATTGATTAGAATTATTGTATTATAAATTTTCATACCTAGCGGTGCGGGTGAGGGCCATTTACTGTAAAAGTGCTATATTTTGGAATGACTAAATGACAGGGAGTTCTATTTTATTGAGTTAAATAAAATTAATTTCATCTTTACTAATTTAACAAGAATCATTACATTTAATGACAATAATCACCATGCATATTGAAAGGCTTGCAAATCAATTAGGGCTATGAGAATCAGATCAAGATCAATTGGGCAGGCATCTGAACAATATCTGGACCCAGTTAATCGGTTCCAAATATGAATTTTATCCATCTACAAATAATTTTATTACTAAATTCCCTTTTACAATTTTGTAAAAGGGGGAATTTAGTAATACATCACAAGATTCCAGAACAATCTACATAGGATACGGAATACCAATAGGAAGGTTTTTTATGGCCAGAAATTGTAATTAGAGAAAATGAAGACAATTATCTTTCGGGATGTTTTCACGATTTTTACACTAATTAGTTACTATAGCCAGTGCATTCGTTGTAAACATACCAATAAATCATTGAAAATTCGTCCTTTTTCCAAAATATAATCAGAAAAAAACTGATATGTTCAAAAATTCAAATGGAATATGTGTAATTTTTTTTCTTTCTATTAAAGAGAAGCTAAGGGCAACGGTTAACGGCCAAACAGCCGCTGCTTGGGTGGACAAGATAAATAAATAAAACAATTTTGTCACTCCCGAAGCGGAGGAAAAGAATTTGATCACTTACATCAACCAGAAAAAAATGGAATAAAATGCAGCTATTTATATTACTTTGGGAAAAATACCTGATTGAGGACTCAAATCGATATGGAAAATTTTTATTCAAAATTTAACACTTGGTAAATTCAACAGGGCTATCCACTACAACAATTTAGAGCAACTTATTACCTTTTTTTTTCATAAGTTGAAGTGGAATTTTAAGTCGAATATAAAAAGTGAAAAAACTGAACTTTCAATGCTACCAACATAAACAATGAAGTGACAGTTACGTTAACATAAAGCGGTTCGATATCATAGACAAAACATCTATCCGACGTGTGCCAGTGCACAGCAACGCCCTGCCAAAAACAAACATTACAATATGACAGAACAGAAACAATTACAATTTCTATTAAGAAAAACCGACTAAGTGCGAGTCGGACTCGCGCTCAAAGGGTTCCGTACCATTACCGACGAAATAATCACGTCTTTTGTATTGTATACTTCAAACATTTTTTAAAATTTATTTAAATATATATTTTTAAAGTGAATATAGTTACATCTAAATATTCTGTAAATATTTGAAGTGTCTACCTGCCGATATTAATATAGAGCCAAAAACGGCAAAAAAACCACGTTGTATGGAATATAAATATTTTTGAAGTGAACTTTCTTTACTCGCTCAGCGAGTATCGCTATGCGAGTTTGGCTGAGCGAGTCTTATCTTTAATAACTATTGTCACTCAGCTACAAACGAGTAGAGAGAGTTCTCGCCGGTGACAGTGTGATCATTCAGCTATCAACTATTAATATAAAAAAAGATGGCGCGTAACGGAAAAATGTGACGGTAAATTTTTTTCCAACGCCGATAAAGAAGTTTCACTTCAAAAATATTTATATTCCATACAACGTGGTTTTTTTGCCGTTTTTGGCTCTATATTAATATCGGCAGGTAGACACTTCAAATATTTACAGAATATTTAGATGTAACTATATTCACTTTAAAAATATATATTTAAATAAATTTTAAAAAATGTTTGAAGTATACAATACAAAAGACGTGATTATTTCGTCGGTAATGGTACGGAACCCTTTGAGCGCGAGTCCGACTCGCACTTAGTCGGTTTTTCTTAATAGAAATTGTAATTGTTTCTGTTCTGTCATATTGTAATGTTTGTTTTTGGCAGGGCGTTGCTGTGCACTGGCACACGTCGGATAGATGTTTTGTCTATGATATCGAACCGCTTTATGTTAACGTAACTGTCACTTCATTGTTTATGTTGGTAGCATTGAAAGTTCAGTTTTTTCACTTTTTATATTCGACTTAAAATTCCACTTCTACTTATGAAAAAAAAAAGTAATAAGTTGCTCTAAATTGTTGTAGTGGATAGCCCTGTTGAATTTACCAAGTGTTAAATTTTGAATAAAAATTTTCCATATCGATTTGAGTCCTCAATCAGGTATTTTTCCCAAAGTAATATAAATAGCTGCATTTTATTCCATTTTTTTTCTGGTTGATGTAAGTGATCAAATTCTTTTCCTCCGCTTCGGGAGTGACAAAATTGTTTTATTTATTTATCTTGTCCACCCAAGAAGCGGCTGTTTGGCCGTTAACCGTTGCCCTTAGCTTCTCTTTAATAGAAAGAAAAAAAATTACACATAATTATTCCATTTGAATTTTTGAACATATCAGTTTTTTTCTGATTATATTTTGGAAAAAGGACGAATTTTCAATGATTTATTGGTATGTTTACAACGAATGCACTGGCTATAGTAACTAATTAGTGTAAAAATCGTGAAAACATCCCGAAAGATAATTGTCTTCATTTTCTCTAATTACAATTTCTGGCCATAAAAAACCTTCCTATTGGTATTCCGTATTCTATGTAGATTGTTCTGGAATCATGTGATGTATTACTAAATTCCCCCTTTTACAAAATACTGCCCATTTTGTAAAAAGGCGTTGGAAAAAATTTACCGTCACATTTTTCGGTTACGCGTCACATTTTTCCGTTACGCGCCATCTTTTTTTATATTAATAGTTGATAGCTGAATGATCACACTGTCGCCGGCGAGAACTCTCTCTACTCGTTTGTAGCTGAGTGACAATAGTTATTAAAGATAAGACTCGCTCAGCCAAACTCGCATAGCGATACTCGCTCAGCGGTACTCGCTCAGCGGTACTCGCTCAGCGATACTCGCTCAGCGATACTCTCTCAGCGATACTCGCTCAGCGATACTCGCTCAGCGATACTCGCTCAGCGATACTCGCTCAGCGATACTCGCTCAGCGATACTCGCTCAGCGATACTCGCTCAGCGATACTCGCTCAGCGATACTCGCTCAGCGATACTCGCTCAGCGAAACTCGCTCAGCGATACTCGCTCAGCGATACTCGCTCAGCGATACTCGCTCAGCGATACTCGCTCAGCGATACTCGCTCAGCGATACTCGCTCAGCGATACTCGCTCAGCGATACTCGCCCAGCGATACTCGCTCAGCGATTCTCGCTCAGCGATTCTCGCTCAGCGATACTCGCTCAGCGATACTAGCTCAGCGATACTACTCAGCTATACTCGCTCGGTTAAGCTGGCTTGGCTGTCAAAAGCCGTGCGCGTGCATTTTAACTCAGGACTGCCAATTCGTTTCTAGTTTCTACTCGCTTATCGTTCATCGTCGGAGGTGGAACATGTGCCTTAGATTACTGAGCCGTGTAATCATAACAGTTTCATAGGCAGTAATTTGTATTCATGTCTCGGATAATAAAATCCTTTTGTTTAAACTTTATCTTATTTAACTTTATTTAACCAATTTCTGGAAAGTTGCATGTAGATCATTTTTCGAAAAATAAGGCCTTAAAGAAGTTTCACTTCTTACGTGTGTACACTAGTACACGCACACATTTTTATTTTATTAAAGTGGTAAAGTGAACGACATATTGACGGACAGTGGTGTCTTAGTAAAAGGTACCGTTTTAACCATTTCAAAATTTTAAACCCTAAAAAACATACTTCCTTTCTGGAGTCGGTTCTTGATTTCTACTCACGGACAAAACAAACGGGCACGCGTCGCCAGCTGTATGCATTGCAGTGACATAAGAGCCGGACCCTTCCCCTTCGCGCCTCATTCCGCCGCTGAGCGTCGCAGTGAAAGGAGGTGCTGTATTAATATTAACCCGAAAATAAATAAAATTAAGCTGTTATAATGCCATGTTGTGCAGTGAAATGGTGTGGGAAATGGAGCGCGACATCTAGTCTAACGAAAGATGGAATCACATTTCATCGGTAAGTCATTATTTCATTGATAACGTCATTCATATAATTCATAACTAAAAATAAGATATATTCCGCCAGGCACATGGGAGAGCTCGCGTTGATGTCTTTATGATTATCTCTTTTTTTCGTATACATATTTATATAGCGTCGTCACGCTCACGCTCTAATGCGATCGATACCATCATTGTGCAGCTGTCGACACGATCAGCGTTTATACATTTGTTAATTGTCATACATTGGCGGCTGCTGCCGCTGATTATTTTTTTGAGTGCATTATTTAAATGTATACCCTAAAAAGTGGTGAAAAGTAACATTTGTATATTTTTGTATTTCAAATTGCGGGTTCATTTAGTTAAAATTTGTATTTTTCGTTATTATTTTACATGAATTATGTTTTCACCTATAATCACTATATATTTTATTACAATATTTAGTAAGTACTACATTAAATAATTTCCGTGTAACGTATTCCCAAAATTCCTCAAAGTACATGTCCTAGCCATTCTGCAACCAAATGTCAACTGAGTGATCGGCAATCGTGTGGCCTTGTGGATACACGCACAATCATGGCCGCATATTGCTTTGATGAATATCCGCAAAAACCGACACAGTGGCGATCGTGTTCGATTACTGCAAATCATGGACAATTACATGTGATTATGCACTCCACACGTTCGAGATCGCTTGTATTAGGCCATCATAGACCATGATGTAGACGAGCTATGGTGTTTAAATATCTAGTGACGAAACACAATAAATTGTATATTGTGTGAATCATGACAGATCATATTAACTATGTTAATCTATTGATTGATAGGAGCTTAAACAGGGTTTTCCCAGTCGTCACCACTGGCTTTGTTCCCATTTTGATTAGCAATAAATTTTATATTTCATCTAAAGAAAATGTTCGTTAATTATAGCTTATATCTAAAAATATTCAAGAATAATGTTAGTTAATTATAGCTTATATCTAAAAAAAATCAGATAATTGTGTGTGTTTCAAATTACCTTTTTTTGATTTGTAGCCGCATTTTTTAATATTATATTTCAGGTTTCCGAAGTGCCTTAAAATAAAACAAAAGTGGATTGACGCTACAAAACGAGATGACAATTGGTTTCCTGGGAAACACCACACAATTTGTTCTCGACATTTCACCAAGGATTGTTTTCGCCCCATAAGTGGAAATCGGCGTTTACTGTTCGACAATGCAGTGCCTACACAAATGTTACCATGTCTCGTATGTAATTTGTTATTATAACTTTGTATTCATTTCTCATTCGTCTATGCTTGTCCCACATCTGCGCAACGAAGCTTTGGATGGCTTTGGTACTAAATGCGCTTAGTACCAAAGCCATCCAAAGCTTCGTTGCGCAGATGTGGGACAAGCAAGAAATTAGCGTTGGAAATTAGAATTAGTTCTATCGTAATAATTATCGGGCTGCGCGTCTAATTTGACACGCGTAAATGACGTTGTGATAGACCGAGACGACAAATTTATAGGAGCCGTAAGAGCGTACTTAATTCAAATTCGTAGTAACAAAGCTTCGTCGCGCAGGCAGGTGTGGGAGAAGCATTTTTTTTTTGAATAAACGTAACAATACTGTAGCATTTACTGTGGGTCCCACACTAGGAGAAACCTGTATCGTGGGCACCCTAATATAATAAATAGGATGGCGTCACATTAATAATTTATATGTAACAAAACAAACGTAATGAAATCTATTATAAATACTTAATTAAAATCAATATTGTATGTATGTGTATGTCTGTCTATGTGTGTTTCAGTGCGTGTGTGTGTTGGTGTGTGTTATCATTAATTTGCTTTAACTGATGAGTTGCAACGTAATAGTTATTACCCCGTAACTAGTTGGCCAGTCTAACTCCATATATAATTATAAAACTTTTATTTTTCAGCAAAGCGCGGACAATTTCGCGGAGGCATCAATTTCGCCGAAACTCGAAATTAAGGAGGAAAAAATATATGCATCGGCTTTACAAAATTGTGTTATTGCAACGTACACTCCCTTGGATGTATGTATTAAATTGACTTATCATTATGAACGGCTAAACATTGTAATCATTCTTTTATTACTACGTAATAACTTGTTTCTTTCATTGCATTGTCAGGATAGTGTCCTTGCTACTTCTGTGAAAACTGAAACTGTTGACCAAGACATATTTATACAACAACAGCAAAGTACCGGTATTGATGCACCATCTTGTATACCACCCTTCGACAGTACATTGAGAAATCGACAACTGAACAGGACTGTTATTGACCTTACTCAAAAACTGAAGAAAAAAAACGTTGCATTAAAACGTTTAAGGAGCTCGAACCGTGTGTTAAAACGGAAAGTGCTGAAATTGCAGCAGCGTCTGCAAGAACTGGAAGAAAACAATTAATTTTACGGGAGAAATCAATATAAGATATGATTGGTCTTAAGATTCTTAGAGATCCTTTCGTTAAGTCATAAATAAATGCCACATCGAGCAAAGTTAGCCACACAAAATATTCCCGTGCCTTACGAAACTTTCCTTTCCCATTACTTCTCCTCTACAAAAGCCTATCAATATGTAAGAAATGAGATTCAATACTTAACTTCCATGAATTGAAATTGTAAGCAAATACTTATTTTTATAAACTATTTAAGGCTAATAAATCAGATTGAACTAAAAATTATAACTATGGAATTTTCCTGTTTTGTCAAACAAACAACAAGATGAAAATTATTTGTCTTTTTTTCTCGCCAAATTAGCTTCAAACAGGAAGCTTTATTATATATATATATATATTTATATAGAAGACGGTGCCAAACGAAAAATACCTGAATACGGGCGTACTCGACTCCATTCATTTACACTTAGTCGTTTACCCGATTTTATTGGCACTCGTATTCGGGCTACAGACCAAATGTAATCGCGCCATCACACTTGACGTCTCTTTTACACTTCTCTACAGAACCGAGATTTACTTTAGAATAACGCGCCTTCCTCACCAGGTCGGTGCGGGCTCGTTTCGTTTTCGTGTCTGTACCGAATCTTAACAGATTATTTACCGAGTGCATATTATTAAATGAGAGATTTCTCGCTGAATAGTTTCAGTACAGATTCTTTACCAACCCAACCGCGTACTACCCAAGCCTTTCCACTCGCCCTTCTCGCAAACAGAACGAAACGATACCGCGCCGAAATCGATGTTGTCTCCGTCTTTTCTCAATGTCTATAGTTTTTCCCGGCTTTTGCTCTTGTATAGTTGCTGTATGTTGTAAAGTGCATGAAAACTGAGAAAATAAAGTTATTTCTTAGGTGCATTTGATATTTTGATCTAAACAATCGAAAAAGACTACATACTACAATTATATTTTTTTATTTACCATACACTTTAATATCGGTCTTAACTAAAAGTTTAAGGAGAATAATAAATTACTCATAAGTTCAGTTCAGTTCAGACAGTGGTGGCAGACCTGGACCAAAATATACTAATTCCAAAAATGGCGGAATTGAAATATGTAATTATACAATTACCAAATGTTCTCATTTCCGTATGTATCATTAATTACTAGTAGTCAAATGATTGGTTGTTTGACTGACAACCAAGTAAACCAACTTTTAGCGATATTGTTTACATACTTAGTTAAAAGTTGTACTTATATTCTTCAAGCCCATTGATTTGATACCCATATGAGGAATGAAAGAAATATCGAATTTATTGCCGATCAAATTGTCACCAGAATGGGCGAAAAATTGTTTACATATTTCGAAGCAAAGACAACCAACATTCAGCCAATAAGTGCAAGTTATTAAAAATGTCATCACCATCATCAGCCTATTAATATTCCCACTGTTGGGGCACACACCCTTCAGTGCGGATTAGTTGATGCTATCGACTGCAGATGAAGTATACTAAATAAAAACTAAAAGAGAGCGAAGAAGTTGCGAGTGTGTCAACCTACATATTGCATCATTCATGCTTACTAAATGATAACTTAATGACTGCAATCAGTTTTACTTTTGATTTAATAGTGCGCAATATTTATGATATTTCAATAATCGTAAACTTTTTCGTTAGTATTTTTATAACATTATCAACATTTGACCTACAAACGGAATGTGTACCTACGTTTAGCGTGTTGGATGCCTATTCGATTGTCTTAGTTACACTACAAATTACCTTATTATGAATATTCATATTGCTTGCATTATTATTATGGTAATAATGTAAATGTGCATACAATTACATCTCCATATCAAATTCCTTCTTTTAGATTCCTTAAGACTGTTATTTCCTTATGTTATATAAATGGGTTTATTTCTCAAAATAGATAAATGAATATAAAGTTTATTGTTAACTTAATAGTTATAAATCTTTAATAGATTATCACTAGCAATTATTGAACTTATAATAGAAAAAAGTTTATTAGGATTAGTCAAAGTCAAAGTCTGTGTTTTTAAGCACCCCTTAGATTAAAACAAAAAGGGTTTTGTTTTAATCTAAGAAGCACCCTTTTATGTTCAAAGCAATGAGGATGGCATATTGTCATATGCCATTCTCATTCCAGACAGATTAGATGATAATGGCCTAATTGTTAATGACGAAGAACTGCTTTTCAAAGATTCATGGCTTATAACGGCTAATACCTAAGCAGTTAGAGATATATCAATAGTCGATTATATCATGTACTGTTGATTGTACTTACAGATTACCCGTTATTGAGTGTCCTATACAAATTTACTTAGTTTGGGATTGAACAATTTAATGTTTTGAAACGCATTAGTATGTATGAACAAAGTTTTCGGGTCGGAACGAGTTTCTTCTGGGAGGATCAGTCAACATATGTATTGTAAATTTGGTATACTATTTGTTGTGTGTATGTTCTAAGTAACAAAAACAAATAAATTGTTTATTAAAAGTGCATGTTATTTATTACTCAGGCCTCTGCGGAACTCTTTTTTTCCGTTCTGCGCAGGCAATAGCTGGATATTTAATGTATTATCTTTTGGAATATAGTCATAAATTAGTTCTTCCTATTTTTTATTTATTCGTTTGACAATGTACATATTTATTTATTTAAAGGGTACACCAACAGTATATGTATATATCACAATTATCACATTACATAAATCTTTTTACTATTACTAGGTGCTTATACATATACCTTTTATAGGCGTACACAATATCGGCAGCAATAATAATAATAATAATAATAAACGTTTATTGACTTAAAGCAAGTTACAATATTTTAAATTAATAATACAAAGATTGGTGACAAGAGGCACATTGGAGCTTAAATATTGTTAAAGGTGACTTCTGTTGCCAGTGGTAGGATAACCTGTATTACAGGCAACAGGGTCCCCTCTATATACGTAAATACTGTAGCCGATTTAGGTGTACGCACATTGGTTGCATGATTACTTATATAGATATATAAACTAGTTATAAAAACTACAGAAACCGACAATAACTAAATGCTGCTGTATTCGATTACACAATAAAGTGTTCTAATTAATTATTAGATTAAGCAATAGGACTCAGTTATAAAAAAATACTTATTTTCTTAACGTACTACGTAATCATATGTTTGAAACGCTCTATAACACAAACATTGATTTGCCCCCGGGAACATTGGATTCTCAGTTGCAATCACTAACTGCTAGACCCAACGGGCTGTCAAATAGGATTTGCAGGCACTTTTTTATAGATTCTAAAGTCGCATAAAAAATTCATTATGAAGCAAATTGTTATAAATTAACACGAAAGCATGACCTTAATTCAGAAGCAATATTTTGCTGATGTTAAGGTTCTTAATGAAATAATGATTTATGGAACCATTACTCTGCCGACACGACACGAGTAATAAATTTTCAAAATACTTAACTAGTCTTGAAAATTGCTTAAATAATAGAGATAAATATTTTTCATTAAGAGAGGTAAGTGCTTTTGATGTTTTTAGAAAAAGGATGACTTTGAATAGTAGTATTCATTGAAGGTACTTAGCATAAAACAGTTTTGACGTGATAAAATGTGACGTCATGTCACGAGTTAGTTTCCCCTCTTAATCCCGCGGAGCCTAACTCGGGCCCCTATAGAGCTACAGAGGCGTGCATGGGCTTAAACGAACCGGAACAAAAAGCCCCGCAAAACTGCACCCAGGAAAACAGCGAACGACACGTTATCACGTAAAATTATCGCCCGTAAACCGACTTTACAGACAACCAATTTTTTTTATAGTTATACATTTTTTAAGTATTAATTCCAAACAGAGGTGTTCCTCGCTCACGGTCAGATGTGATAGTCAGTAAAACATGGAGCATTTGATGCAATTTGCAAACTGACAGATCAAAATTGATATTGATGTAGGGGAGAGCGGGGCTGAAAGAGACGAATTTAATTAATTGCTAGATTAATAAAAAAAGTGAGGAAAGGGATTGCGGTTTTTTCCGCTTGAATTAAATAAAAATAAATAATTAAATATTTCCAACACTCACACCAATTGAGGCCATGAGAACCATAGTGGCCTAACTCATTTTTTTCAATATGGAGTTTATGATTTTTTCCAGTTCAAATTGATCATTTTGATAGAACCAGAGTGGTCTAAAAGTGATTCAAGGAATATTCACTAGATGGCAGCATAATTACTGTTACAGTTCTTAGTCTGTGATATAAATTGTAGGTGCCATACTGGCCTAAGTAAGATAGGCCACTATGGTAAAATGAGTTAGGCTATGGTGGCCACTTACAATCAGGCGGACCATACGCTTGTTTGCCACCATTTTAACATAAACATTTGGATAAGACTAATGCTGTGGTTAATAGTTTTAGGCTATCTCAGGTAATCTTGATTTTAAATTGAAAGCTACTCTTTGTTTATTTATCTTTTTATGTTCAGGCTACATAGGCCCATAGATACCCATATAGACCTTATAGTCTAACATATATACAGATATAAAACATTGTTGTTAGTAAATTAAATTAGAAACTATGTTAGTAAACACCTAATTAACATGTATAGACGGCGACATGTGACGCGTAGTGGTATCCGGTAACCGGCCTCGGTATCGCCGGAACACAACACCTTTCGCCCAAAGTTCTTCTTTCATGAAAGTCGCTAGATGTTCGGTCGGCACACTCACCACAATTGAATTAAAATTCACATTGTGACGGGACTCCAACCGTGCGATTCTCAGGGAGAACTTGGTCTTGATTCGCAGGTATACTATGATCCTCATCCTTAGTAGAGTAATGCAGTATGGGCACGTACAGAACCGTCGTCGGTATTGCATGACGCAGCAGGTGCTTCGGTCCAGTCGGGGCAACACTGAGGTACGGTGTGCTGTACATCATTTTTGGCATTTTACATGGATTTAAATGTTTATTTAATAAATAAGCATAAAATTGGATAGCTTTACATTTATTCGAAGTAAAAATTTTAAAATATCAACATTTAGGTAGTTTTAAAAACTACTGATAGTTATGATTTTTTTTAAGCATTTAACTGCTAGACGTTTAAATCTAAAGAAAAGTTTACTAGAAAAAAATCCACGCGGACCAGGTCCCGTCCGCTGCCTGGTGGATTTTTTTTCTAGTAAACTTTTCTACTAATAGTTA